ACATCTCTATTTTTCATTTCTATTATTTTTCAGTTCTCACTCTTCCCTTCAAGGACTGTCCAATAGTCAGGCAAGACCTGACAATGTTGGGTCCTTATAATGCTGAATCCACCTGAATTGTAGTAATGTCACTAAGCTGACAAACACCAGCCAAAGGTCAACTTTGGACTACAAAGTGCTCAAGACAAATTCAAAGCAGTTAGCTAAGATGGTCCAGCTTCATATACTACAGTCAGGACTTCAAATAAGCCTTGCACCCTCCCATCACACTGAGATTGGACAACAGCTAGCTCTCCCAGAACTTGATCTTTATCTCAGTTTTTTTTTCAGGGTTCCCTAAAGATGCTATCATCTCCAGACAGCAGGAATTAATTCTAAAAACAGGATACCCATATTCCCAAGAGTTATGGTGGAAGGTTTTTAATCATTCCATGGATGCTTGTCATCATTTGGGGTGGAGGTTGGTCAAAAGTTGTTCTTGGTCATAGTTATAGATGAAACTAAGCAAAGGAAATTAGATCCAGGGATCTTGTTCTGAAAAGAAAAAAGGGGATATAGGAATTATAGAATAAAAGGGTAGATTGTTGTATCTACTTTCAAACTAAAGCAACTACTAGTCTCAAATATTTTACATTGGTATGGACTTTTTTATATTGATATAAATTTAAGGTTATTTTTGTTATACTGTATATATGTTTCTACTCTTGTTTAAGATATTTTTATATATTGATAGAAATTTAAGGGTTTTTTTATACTGTATTGTATGTTTTTATTTCTTGTTTAAGGTAGTGTACCTACTCAGCTCATTTAAAATATAAAGTTCTAGTCACTGAAAGCCATTTAGGATATTAAAATAATACAGGTTAGTAGTTAGTCATCTATAACAATCAAATTTATAGTTATGTTAAGTATGTTTTCAAGGTCAATCAGACAAATTTAAATAGATGGTCTTCAAACATTTCAGAGACCTACAGAATATGGCATTTTAATGTTTTAATAACATGAGGCTTTTCTTGACAGTGAGGTACATCTGCTCCTGGCAGTACCAATTTATTTCAAAAGAGGATAATGGAAATTGTAAAACCTCCATATAGAATTTGCTTTCATTTGTGGCAAAGTTAGCCACTGGGCAAAGAAACTACCCTTGCCTCAACTGCTGATAGCATGCTGTCCAAATTAGACAAGCAGGACACAAAAGAAGGCAACTGCTAAACTTTGCCAAGGCAAGGTAGACAGTCCTACAAAATTCCTGCTTCACAGAAATGTATGCCAGTCATTCTAGGCCCATAGACTGAAGATGGATGCCCCAATATTAAAGAGGAACCTTGGGGTGACTGTCCAGGCAGCCAGATGTCTGTCATTTCTTAGTTTTGGAAGTTGCTTGCTGTTCACTTCCTGTTTACTGAGGTAATCTTATATCTTTCTTGAGTCTCTGATGGTGTTGAAGATTATATAGTTTTACTATAGTTTTCCTTGGTTATGATAGAAAGTAAATTAGGTGTAAAACTTTGGACCCACCAAGATGATATAGATAACAGAGTTTTTTCTCTGAATTTTCCAAATACTAATGGACTGGACAATATTGTGATTGTATTTCTTACTTGATAACTATTCTTATTATATATAGCTTTGCTTTGTTAGAGTTAAAACCTTTCATTTTTATTTAGATAAAAAAGGGGAAATGTTGAAGGAGATTTTTTTCATACAGCCAATCTACTGTGCCAATAAAGCAACCTTGAGTCAAAGGATAGAGTCAGTGATTGGCTGACTGTGATTAGCCATAAAGTTCTTGGAGGATTGAAGTGGGTGGCTAGAGAGCACAGGAGGAAAGGAGGGAGGAGTTCTGGGGAATTTCCAGGGCTGGTGGTTCAGGAAAAAAATGGAGAGAGGGTCAGGCAATTGCTCCATTTTCCTTTGATTTATCAGATCTTAATCTCAATTTCTGTTTTTATTATACTGGAACAAATTAGATAATTATTACATCGGGCAGCCACAGAGATTTAAAGATAAAATATCTCTTTTTAAGTGGAGAATGTTCAGAGAAACTGACTCACAAAAGAACTTCGTTTACAAAAAGTGTGATGTTGCAAATTGTTTAAGAATATTTGTTGTTTCAAAAACAATGACATTTTCCCACATGACTCAGTCAAATTAAAATTCATTAAACATAATAATGAAATAAGTTTAAGAAATACTCAGGAGCCTAGGAGGGTGAAAGCAATGAATCATACATCTTAGAAAAATAAAGCAATACCTTTGATAAAGTTATTTATATTTAATAAGTAAAGACTGCAGATTTTGCATCTTAGAAGCCCACGAATATGTGGACTTCATTGCAAAAGACAGGCATTCTCTTAAGTCTCACAGGAATTTATCTCTGAGACTCTTTTCATGATCTACTACTTTTCTCTTAAGTGCTGTGTGTTGACTAATCATTAATTGACGAATTACAGATGATGTTAAATAGCCATGGGAAGAAGTTCAAAATGTAGAGTAAAAACATAAAACTCTCCTCATGTCATCTGTTTCTGAAGATTCTGAAGAAATCAGTTTGAATGAGAGTACTCTACAGCAGGTTAACATTAACCACTATCCACACAATGATTTGAACTAAATGAGATGTTATCCCAGCACACAGTCCCAAGTAAGACATGAGTGCACACTCAAGGAAAGAAATAAGGAGGGAAGATTTGAGAGGAAGGATAAATGCTGGCCTGTTACTGGCATCAGTGTATCTCCATCCTGCTTGGAGTGCAGGAGTCGCTAAAGGTACCAGGGCAAGTGGACACTCCCACCACCTGAACTGTTCTAAATTGAAAGATGTGCTTTGGATATATTGTTGCAAGATGAATGAAATTCATTTAGAACCGATGAAGTCCCAAGTGAAACCTGGACATTTATATTTTGGATAACACAATGAATTTTTTTGTTTCTGATTAATTTTGCTTGTCTGTAGCATGAGAACAGTGGTGCCTATTTTATATATTATGAGGCTGAAGGGAGATAGTGTTGCATAAATAAAAGTGTTAAGTAAAATGCACTAAGCATTAGTTGCTATTATAATAACACTAAACAACATAAACAGATTTCTTTACTTTTCCTGCTTATTAAAATGACCAGTCATGAAATGACAAAGGGGAGAAATACTTGGAGACAATGTAACTTTGTCAGATTAACTCCACATTACCTAGGGGACTAGGTGTGGAAAATATCAATGCTTTATGAACAATAATAATGTCCTTCCTTTTTATTACAAGTCCTGTTTGAGTTTTAAGCTCATTAAAAGAAGTCTGATTGTCTTGTATAATGTATGACAATGTAAGTATTATAATCAAGAAAGCAGTGTTAACTATATAAAAAGCAAGGTTTTACCTTATTTCCAATATAATAGTACCTTTTCAGAAAAAAAACATATTTTATATGTGATTTTATATATAAATATATATGATTGCTTTGCAAAGGCAAAATATCTAAAACTACACACTAAGATTTATTCATGAAATTCATTTCTTAATGAAAAATTTATTCAGTAAATATTTTGATGCAATACTTTTTCCATTAAATTCAGGATTCAATATTGAACAGATTAATTAAGGAATGATGAGCATTTGAGGGGCATCAAAGCATTCTAGCTATCTCTGCCTTCAGTCTCTAGTTTAAATGCTCACCGGGGTACAGAAAAGCTGCTGGGATTCCAATCAGCTTCCTAGGAGAAGTGCTTTCCAGCATGCTTTCAATAGACCAGGAATGCTAATAAAGAAAGCTGAAAATATCATATGAATATCATCATTCAAGCTCATGAGTTACACAATACTATCTCCTCAGACTCAGCATGAGAAACTTATTTTCTAAATTGTATAATGCTTATATCAAGTCATTCCTGGGTGTGGAAGACAAAAATATAAGTAAAATACTGAAAGGTGGAGGCAGCCATGAGCATGATTAAATATCATGGGACGTATGAGGGAAGTGGAAAAGATGAAAATAATATACCTCATTACCACTCTATCTTTAATGTTTTATTTTCTTTCAATTGAACTTTGCTTAAGAAACAGATGTTGAAGAAATTTAGAGGAGTGGGGATAAATTTTAGGGTGGTTTGGTGATGGAATGCTTACTAGAGTAGGTATAGAATATTCTTGAAGGTGGGAACAGACCTGAAGGTTGAGGGTTTTTATTTTCATTTTTATATAAACTTTTGGCACTCAGTTTATTTGATCAATGTTTAGTGCTGCATGTCTTCACAGCTTTAGAATTTTGACTGGAAAATATTTTTACCAAATAATTTCTCAATAAATATTTGCTAATCGGTTAATGTGGTGGATAGAATGAGTATTTGCATCTTTGTTGGTACTGCTATGAATTTATGTTCATGTTGGAAGTGTCTCTTTTCATAACAGGAGCACTTCATATAACATTTTATCAATTCAATTTCATGTGGACCCAGTTCTGTAAATGTTACAGTAGAGTTCCAAAAATGTGTAAGTATACATAATATATCAACAAACTCTGAGCAGTTTTTGTCAACCTGTAGAACTAATATATTGATTGGGTTTTATTAAGATAAAACTTAGTATGGAGTAGAATCCCACATGTGGCTCAAAAGTTGGTGGGTTTGTAGGTCTGTAGAAAGAAGAGGGACATGGACAATTGGATGTGAAATTGAAGTTGACACTAAAATGTCCTGGCAGGCGGCATGGTTTCTGGCTTGATACAGATGCGACTTCGTCGCCATCTGGGGGAATGAATCATTGCTGGTGTCTCACATCATCCTCACCATCTGTCATGGCAAACTTGGCAGCATGACTGGCATCTGAGTGAGGCTGTGAGGCTGAAAGAAGCTGGACCACACTGGCTATTGAGGCTTCTCCATGCCCTGTTGATGTCCCTGAAGGGTACAGAGACTGTTAGTCAGCACAGACACAAGCCTCTAATATGGCATGCTAAAAGTGATTAAGATGTTGAAAGGAAGGGGGCAGGGGAAAGTAGGCAAGCCCGCAGCAGTTAAAAATCCCTTTATTGTCCTTGAGAACATCATCTTGTCAGTTTATCCTGTAACATCCCTCGACCCAGGGTACTTTCTGGAAATGATATGCCTTTAGTAATTAAGCATAAATTAGAAAGGCAGTGTAGAAGTCTCTGGGGTGTTAGCAGTAGAGATGCTACTAGAGTAAAGCACACTAGCTTCCTTTAGTGTGTGGCACCACAGGCAAGTGTCAGAAAGCAAGAGACAGCAGGAAGACAGTGGTACCTTGGCCACATAAGCAGAGTGTATAGAAAGCTTTGTTTCCACATCCAAATCATATCATCAAGGCCAATATGAAGCTACAGATATTTTATGGGCTACTGGAGATTTACATGTCTGTATTTATTTGCATGAACCAATTTGCTGTTGGGTGGGAGAGAAAAGAAGCAGAAAATCTCCAGATCAAGGTCTACCTACAGTGTTCTCCCCAGGAAAATGTAATGAGCCCTAGCTGAATGAACTTCTGAACAATCAAGCTGATAGAGAGGAATCTCGTACAATGAGCCCTATTCTTAGAAGAAGAAAGTATTCATTAAACTGGGCAACTAATCAGTTGCTCCAGCCATGGTGCTGCTGCCTTGGGCCTTCTCATACTAAAATGTTACTTTATTATTTGAGTTTCCGGTGAACATTTATTTACTTGTTTGGATTATGAGCACATATTTGAATATTTCATTCCTGTACTTAGCTCTCAAACTATTAATTATTTATAATGGGCTCAACTCTTAGATCCAGAAACATTTTGTTAATGACAGTGTGCTTATTTCAAGTCTGTATGGTAACATGCCAACTTTCATCAGTGTGGAATACTTCTGCACCTAGTTGGCCAAGATGAAACAGAAAGACAGCTACTGGTATTATGAATTTTGAGATTTTTTCTTTGCTGATGTCCAGTGGCACACACATGGGTAGACAGCAAAATGATTCTCTTCCCACAGCAGAGCCCTGTACAAGGGATCCAACAAAGTGGGAGAGGATTATGAAGAAAGTTAGAGGATACAGCAAGCATAGCTCTCCCAGAAAAGCATTTGGCAAAAAGAAGCAAATTCAAGGGTGGATCAAATGCATCTATGGTGACAGCTGACCTTTGCCCTCCTTTGATTTCTATATCCTGCCCAATACCTGAGAAGCCATGTTCTGCAGAGATGCGAGGCAGGTGCTTCCCATTCGAATATCCTTTAGCTTAAACGTGCACTCTATAGAGTCCCCTAATTGATGAAGACCTCCATTTCTTCTTCTGTTGAATATATAAAATATTCTGAATAATCTTGAGAGCTTTTATGGTGATTGTACTTAGGAAAATTCAAGTAAAATACATTGCATGTTGTTGAGTGAGTAATCAGAAACCCACAGTGATGCTGAAGGACAGGGAACATTTTTAGGGTGATGTTCATTAAAAAAAAAATCACAGCTATTCAAATGACAGAATGTGGTGTTTGTATTAGTGAGACTACCTATCTTTTGGTTCTGACCACATTCGCATTGTGTTTTCCTTAAACCTTAACACACTGAGAAAACAGATACCATGTAGACTGACAAAGTCAATTTTACTAACACCATGACCCTTAAATCGTCAGTCAGGGAATACTGCGTTGCCTGAAAAGAAATGGTTGGAAACTCATGTCAAATTGTAAAACAGATTTTAGATGCACTTATGCTAGTTGATCACTGTGGTGTGCTGGTTTACAGTTACAATCAGAGGAGATCCCTGCAGCCCTTCATCCCTTCTGCACAGTTCCATAAATTAACAAAGCCTCCAGCCTACCCAAAGACTTATGTTCACCTACGTAACAGTGAGAGCAGCAGAAATAGTCTTCCTCAGGGAAGAGTACACCAATTAGTTACCTAATACCAAATGCTTAGCTCTGAAAACATACATGCAATTAGCCTTGTACAGACTGAGCAGATTATATTTAGGAATATATAAATATAAGACATATGACTGTAACAACAATTAATAAAAAAAAGGGGAGCAAGGATTTGAAAGAGTAAAGAGGGTTATAAGGGAAGGAAAGGAAGAGGAAATGGTAAAATTATATTATTATAATCTAAAAAATAAAAGAAGCAAAATAATAAAATTAAAATAGTGCTTTGTCCCTTGGTTAACTCCACAACTTAGAATGTTTGAACTGTGGCATTTATGTTTATTATTATTATTTACTAAAAACCTTTTGTATCATTCATTTGTGTTAAAGAAAAGAGTAGACTCTGTTAATAAATAAAAAGTAATCATGATCATTTGGTAATAATTATCCAAAATGACTGACTAAATGTTAATCCATTTGCTTTATAAGAAAATAAAATATGCAAAAGAGCTAAGTTATGTAATATAAGAAAGTAAGCTATTAAAATAATTATTTGTGAAAGCCCAAGACAAGGTAAGAGCAGAGCTCAATTTTAAATTGATGGCCCTGTCAAGATGAACATTTTAAAAATGAAAATGTCATTAATTCCTTTCTGGTGGACTCAAAATTATTAAGATTATATGTTTAGAGAGGGAAATTTCCATTCTGTTTTTCTCAATACCAAGTAATGTTATTTTGAAGCCCTGGAAATATTTTCAGTTAAAAAAAAAAGGTTGTTACTAGGTTAGGACCCTTCATAGTTTGGTGGCCTTGTGGCCGTCTGTTCCAAATGAGGCCAGTAATTTGTGAGATAAATTGACTGGCACAAATTGTTTTCTTTTTCAATGAAAAATGAAAGTCATCTGCTTCACTTTGTTCATAAAGAGTAAAATGTAAAAGATATATCTTTTCTTCATTAGAAAGTAAAGACAGGTATGAAGATACATTTCAGCCAAAACTGTGGTCTGTGTTGTATCAAGAAGGTCTGAGTGGAATGCATGACAGCCAGATAGTTGTAGATATTTAAATGTTTTGTTTAATTTTGTGCAAATATATTACCTGTCTTGAGAATGATTTTTTAAAATAAGTTTCATGAGACTTCCTTGCATAGGTATATAGGTATTCATTCTCTCTTACATTTCTTAAGTATGACAGTGTTTTTCTAGAAATGACCTCATAGATTCAGTCAAAAGAAAAACCATCATGAGAGATGAGATATTTCCCTAGGTGTTTTTTATAATTATAGGATTAATCTTATTTTTTATTTCCCCCAGGATTGTTACATTTTTATATACTTTCCAAAGCAGATTCTGAACTATTCTTTTGTGGTTGGACAAACCTCAGTCTTCAGAGACTGAGAACAGTCTCCTTTCAGATGTTACATTATTGAGTTTAGAATTAATTCCTATGAATCACTTACGAAGCCTGGGAATAAGGCAGAACACAATGCATTTCCCATGATCCCATAGTGAAGCCAGCATTGTCCCATCTAGTGAAGTCAGCCTTTTTTTGGTGAACACCACCCTAAAAATTACATCAAATAAGACAGAAAGGAAACAACACAGCTTTGACAATGTTTTTGAAAAAGAATACGGTTATACCTGTGTTTTATTATAAATAAACAGGTTCTGTCATGTTTTATCTTCTTGCCAGCAAATGAAGGACATTGTTTCATAAAGCTTCTAAAATGCACATGAATATTTCATTAAATCATATTTCCTTGAGAAAATAAAGTTCCTTCGCGTTTATAGCAGACTGTTGTGAGGAGTTTGTAATTGTAAGACCAGGGTAGCCAGTACCGGTTGCTTGTGGAACAGTACTCCTCAATTTTTAAAACTTTTTCTTAAAAAATAAACATACAATCATAGGTGTTCATTTACTTTAAAAATTCTAACGATGAACAAAATTATTGTCTATATATTTAAGTCCTTGTATAAATTACAAAACTCAAGTTTATGTCACAGAGTCCCTTCCCCATAGGAAGCATAAAGCACTTTTGTGGTACCTTTCACCAGTAAATATTTGTATCACATTGAAGTTGACAAACAAAAGAAAAGTCAATATTGCATCTTTAAGCCCTAAGAGAACATTCTTCTAAGCTGTCTCTTGTGATGAATGAGCTTCCAAAGTCATTTGATTGCCATGATTTAACTCAATCTCAAATAAAGTTATATAAAAGTAATACATTTATTGACTTCAGTAGAACTCTGACTGTGAAATATCAGTGAACTTTAGACTCTTCTTGCTTGAGGTCAACAAACACCCTTTGGAAGACAACCAAGAGTACTTTAAGATCATGACAACAAAATAAAATTATAACAACAACAACAATAATAATAATAATAAAATAACAACAATAAAATAAAAATAATAACAGCCAACACTGAGGTAAACTCCCCTTCCAAAAGGCAATGTGTGTTGCCTGGACTGTCAGGAGAGAGTTCGATTGTCCCTGATACCCAAATGTTTTTCTAACCAGAGTTCAGCCAGTTGCATGGTTGAGGCAAAAGTACTTGCTTTGGATCCTAAGCACATCTTATACTGCTTAGGGTCCAAGTTAGGATCACAATGAACTGGATGGAAAATATGCACCACTCCCACTTCTTGACTTCTGAAGGGTTGTAAGCCAGATAGGATAACTTTGTTGTAGAGATCTACATCTTCCAGTCCCCAGCCTTGTATTGAGGTATCAAATCCACCTGCACCCAGTAGATCACTTTTGTAAATACAAGTGATACCATAGCCATAGTCTCTCCAAAATCCAGTTTCCTTTGAAAACACAAAGTCATCCTCTGGGGGCGGATTTCCCATGTGTGTCACCTTTGGGTCGTACTGGCTAAAGATGATGGGGTAGTATACCTGTTGTCCCTGAATTGTATTGTCTCTACATCGCTGGAGAAAGTCCCCTCTAAAGATCAAGTCAACATCACAAAATAGCAGCAATGTGTCATTGTCAAACTGAGAAGAAGCCATTTCAAGACCAAGACCTCTGGAAAACTCCCCCTTCATGGGAATCAGCATCATGTCTGCATTCGGGTACCTGTTCTGATAGTCTTGTATCAGCTCAATGTGCTTGTTGGACTCTTGGCCAGAATCCCCACTGAAAAGGATGATGACCAGCTTTACATTTTGCTTTGGGATAAGACAGGTACTTTCAAAATTTTCCATGAATCTCAAGAAAGTATCATACCTTCTAATAAGGGGAACAAGAATGTGTACTTTCTTTTCTTTGTGCCCTCCTATTTCTTTGGTCTCTTGAAGAGAAGAGAGTGTTTTTAGAGAGTTGGATATTAAGGAGAATGACTGAGTGCCGCTGTTAATACTCTCCACCAGGCTGTTGACATCGAGTTCTTCCATTTCTCTGAAGAAAGGCTTGCTAAACAACTGTTGAAGATAGGCATGGCGCCTCACAGGCACAGTCAATTTCCTTCCTTTGTGTCTTTTGTACAAGAGGAGCAGATCCAAAATGTACTCCACCCCATGCATGGGATCAACCCTGCGGTAGCCATACTGAATTTCCTTGAAGTCAATGAGCCGGCCCCTACTCTTGGCATTCTCGTTGATCATCTCCATCACCTGCAGGACGGTGTCATCCAGGGCTGTCCTAAGGATGCTGTTGATGCTCTGTCGAGGAGGCTGGTTCTCTGAGGCTGAGTAAAGCAGCTTCCCAGTCAGGAACTCCCACTCGATGACCTCATTTCTCTCCCGGGGCTGAAAGTGGTTGAAAGAAGGCATCACTCCCAGCTGCTGGTCCTCTTTGCTCACTTCACTGTTGCTGAGCTTGCTCATGAGTGCACTTTCCCTGTGGAGCTGGATGGTGCGGTAGCGGAGCTCGGAGATCTTGCGGCTAAGCATGTAATTATGCAGTCTGTATTGGTACGCAGGCCTTTTGTTTGGATGAAGTGTGATGGCCGCGTGGATTTTGCTGTTGTGAAGGTCTTGGATGTAACCCTTGCGATTGTGTTCGTAGTTTTCATGGAACAGCTGTTGCATCTGAAAAGTAAAGGCAACCAGAATGTAAGATTGAAAGGAAAATTAGCATGAACACCAAACATTTAAATGAAAATATTTAATAAATATTTACCAATTTGGCACTCTGTGGTTAATATGCTTCATAGATTTATGCTTATATGAAATCACAAGTTTTATTTCTAAAACCAACAGATAAAGTTGTATTTATCATGTATAATAGGAGGTTTTGAAGTATGTGAAATTAGTCGAGTGACTAAACACAGCTAACTAGCATATTTGCTATGTCATAGGTATCATTTCATGAAATACATCCTTTAAGCACATACTGCATTATTATTGACCCTACCCTCCGTTTTATACAGTAGAGCCCTTGACCACAGTGTGTCAATGAAACTTTTATCTCATCTCTCCTAGTAACCACTATTTTACTTTCTGCTAATTACATCAACATTTTATTTCCACTTGGACTCAGGTAACAAATGCCAAAAACATAGGGGGGAATACTGTAAACCAATGTTTTACATATTTTCAAGCATTTTGTTTCTCTATTTTTCCAGAAACTAGCCCCAAAATTTTCAAATATTTCCATAATCTCCTAGTAGACCCTTTAGAAGCTCAGTAGACATCCCATGGGTATCTCTAAGAGAATGTTCATTGAAAAGTAAAACAAAAAGCCTATTGCTTGGCATGGCAGGAATAGGCTCTTTGCCAGATGATCATTCAGTGTCCTAGCACACCAGTTTCACTGAGGAAGTTCTTGGTAAGAAGCTGAGGTAGACCGCTCATGTCAAGTTATATTCAGTTAGACATGCTTGATACCCTGTGAACCAGGAATGCTTTCAGCTCATCTATAACAAATTTACTAATCCTGAAACCCATGTGAAAATACGTAGTTTTAAAATCAGCATTTAAACTTCTTTCAGCATTCAATGCAGCTAGCACTTCTTCCTTTGACAGGAATCAAAAGCATTCTACCACACCCATCAGGATAAGAACTATTAAAGAAGAAGCTTCTCTAGTGAGGGTTGAGCAAGACACTGATCTATGAATATAGTAATATATCATTGGAAGTCATGTTATGTTCATTTATCAGAATAATAGTAGTAGGCTTTCCCCTGGGCACATAATCTATCTATCTAGTCTCAGATTCTTGATCTCATTAACAATATCAGGTATGTGTTCTATCTCATAGAGGTGGCCTTAAATCCAATTGAAAAGTGGTTGTCACTCCCCTGACACCTGTGCCATGATTGTACCAGTGTGTATATCCTGCAGAAAGGTCATTATTATAGCTCACAATGTTCATAGTTAGGTAAGGTTGATTATTATTTTTCTCCTTTAGCAGCATGTATAGTACCATCTAGCACTATGAATGCTAGCAAAAGGGGGTAAGCTTCCTGTTGAGTACAAGCAAGATTTTTCCATATTCTATACTAAAAATGTGTGATGACTTCAGGAATAGGATATGACCAACATGTTGTGGAGGGTAACCACAGTATTTGGGAATTCAATAGGACCTTATTAGTCAGTGACTCAAAAAGAGGTAATACATTCCTGTACTGGGGGTTTTATTGGTAGCATATGGTGTCTAGTTGGGGATAGTAAAAATTCTAAAAAGTATCTCATTTATATATACTTCAGGTAATATAGTAATTATGATAGCATCTTTAATACATTTTTTACTAAGAAGCATATAGCTTGTTGTTCAAATTTCTTACTTTCATATTTAAAGAGGATCAATCTATACAGGCTGGACAGTTAATCTAAGAACTATACTTTGGAACCAGCTAGGATAAGTATACATAGGTTTTGAACACTGGGTTCTATCATGTCTAGGAGATTTCATAGTCAGTCTGTTTAATCCTTTATCTCCTCTATACAATGGAGAAATGCCAACAACTCCAATGCTTATTGAAATTGCATTAAATAAGATAAAAGCATGCATGACTTTCAGTATTGTGGTCTATCTAGTAGACAGTATTCAGTAAACAATAATTACATTCAAGAACATGGCAACTTTATTTTAAAATTGTGCTTATTTTTAAATTAGGTCTCTTCAGAGAATTAAGATTGTACCTTCAGTTAACACATGCCTTTATTTTCATGCTTACCAAGGTACAATTTGAAAGTTGGCTACATATAGTCAGTGCTTCAGAATACTTAATATACTATTGGCATATTAAATTACAAAAAAAAGACAACATTGTGACTATTTAACCAAATTAAAATTTGTGGGGATTAGGTTGATTAAATAAGAGTCCATTAAGAAGAAGAAAAGAGTTAAAACTAAATGGTAGATATCATATTCACATGGAGTACAGCAAAAGTTGAGAATGTAAAGTTTACACTTGGAAATTATAGGAGTTTGCTTGAGGTGATTTACAACTTAGAGTTGAATTTGCTTGTTGTTCTTCAAAGAGTTATCAGTTGAATTTGTGGCATCACCATGTTACAAAAACAAAGTCACAGCTGTAATATGCCAAGGGCTCCAGTCACCCACAACCTCAGTGTCTGAGAGGCTATAAAAAAAATCCTATTAGGAAAAGTCAGAAAGGAAAACAACAAATGTCCAGAGATGGTTCAATATGAATTATCGTTATACTTTACTATATTAAGTTCTGTCTGCATTTACATTTATTAGTAATGGAAATATAGTATGTATAATTTATGGAATGATCATAGATATGCAAAAGAAAAACTTTAAAATCCTTTAGATACAGGAAGGAATTGAGTATTTAAATAGACACAAGGTCAGTATAAGAATAGCAGAAAGCTGATTTATTAGATTTTTAAAATGGTTATACAACTGTATGCTTTTACTAGATACCATTAAGCCATACAACTGCAAAAGAAGAATTTCCCAGAATGTAAGTTATTTACAAAAAATCATGTTGAAAAGAAAATACACCCAACTCCAATTTAAAATGATATTGGTCACTAAGAAAATCTTGGAGATTTCCATGGGCTGCTGAGGATGAGAAGGTCCATCTGAAGGCAACTGGTCCCAGAAGGCCATGCAGGGCATTGCCTGTGGTGAAAACTCCCACAGACAGCATAGTTCACAAAGTGCTAGGAAAAGAAATGGTCTAAAAACGTTGAGCACAAAAGTCCTAGTTTATAACTTAGATGCAGACACTCACATGAGAAACTCAGGTAGAGTCAACCCCAGGGATTCAACATCTGTTTCAAGAAGTAGAAAATACAGAGCTACGAGAGGTATGAAGCACAAAAAAACAAGTTTTCCCATGGAACAGATTTAATATTAGGCTGCAAAGAAAATCAATGTCTTGTCTTTGTTGAAATTAGCAAGTACACAACTGTTTTGAACACACTTCCAAGATAAATCTAAGGTAAATATCTTGCCTGGTTAAAAGTATTTCTTTCTGAGATAAGTCATTTTTCTAAGAAAGAAAAATAGTGTAACAAAATACAAAGCCCCATTTTAAAAAACTAAAATGAAGAAATACCACTTCTCTCAATCCCCATAACACACACACACACACACACACACACACACACACACACACACACACAGAAGTTAAAAAAATTAATAGAATAGTAAATAATAATATAATAAACAATACAGTAAACCAATTTTAAAAGACCATGCTATTGAAGTAAAAGTATATCTATATGCTAAATTCATTTAACTGTATTCAAAATTATATTAACTAAGAATAGTTTTAAAAAGAGAAACAACAAAACCTTTGAGAGAAAGAAGAAATTTCTAGCCAGCTTCTCGTGAAAATGGTAGCCTTAGCGGTGCTTGCCATGTTTCCTGAACTAAACACTGACAATGAGATGATTTTGCAAATATATGCATATAAGGTAAAAGGCGAGAACACTGTAACTGCATGGATAAAGAACAATGGGTTCAGGATGTCATAGAAAACTGCCCCGCAAAAATTGCAGTGGAAAGAACTGGGATCAACCTGAATAAGAACCTTAATGGGAATCTGTAGAATAATAGAGAAAGTAGCTAGTGTTAATGTCATCAGACAGAGCAGACAACAGCCCCTTTGTGTACCAAAATAGGTGTTTAAAAGCATTGTATGATCTGTGGAGTGGATACTCTTGTCTCGGCAGACTAGAGCCATTACAGAAACCCTAATCAGAATTTACCTTAAAGTTATCTCATCTTTTAAAGTATGTGTGAGTGTGCATGTGAGTGCCTGTGCATATGGAGACAGAGCTCAATAGTGGGTGTCTTACTCAACTGGTCTTGTGTATTTTTTAAATAGTACTTTTGTCTATTCTTTAAAAATACATTTACACAACATACTTTGATCACATATATATCCAACAGTACCTACCTCTAGTCTCCTTATGCTCCTCACTCAGTTTCTCTCCTAACTTCATATCCTTTTTATTACCATTAATAAGCCCCTGAGTCCAATCAGTATAAAATGTGTTAGATAGCATTGTGACATTTTGTAACTCTTCTCCCCCTACCTTTCCTACCCTCTGCTACTCCACTCCCTTCTTCTACAGCTCCCAGTCCTCATATTCATTTCCTTGTTCATGGAAAAGTGTCCTTTGTCTACTCTTCATCCTTCTTCATGACCCAGTGTTACTCTTGGGGTCTTTTTTTCTAGATTATTAGACTTTACCCACACTTACAGAAGTTTACACAAATACACTTCACATTATAAGCTAGAATATGTGGGAGAACATTTTTTTAGTCATACTGCATTTTGATCATCTCACTTAATATTATACTTTTAAGTTTCATCCATTTTCCTGAAAATCTGATGATTTCATTTTTCTTTACAGCTGAAAATATCCCATTGTATATATGTACCACATTTTCATTGGCCATTAATCTTCTACTGATGACATCTAGGGTGGTTCTATTTCCTTGCTATTTTGAATACAGTGTCCAGAAACACAGTTGTGCAAATATCTCTGCAACAGAATACAGAATTTGGGCAGGGGGGTATACTTAGTTTTTGAGACAGGGTCTCTCATTGAACCTGGATCTCACAGATTTGGTCAGACTGACTAGCCAAAAAGCTTCATAA